CCACTCGCATACGATGCACGGGATGAGGTCGTTGGATACCGACTCGGGCTATCTGTACTCATCATCTGTGGAGCTGCAGGAGCATACAAAGGAATAGGAGCAATGGCATATGCAGGGGACTGCACTACAGAAGGTGGCGCAAAATAGGATTGAGGGGGAGCCTTTCCAGAAGTAGGAGTAGGCAATCCTCCATCGTGATACATTGGATATCTCCAATGAGGATTGTACTCCGTCTCTATAATCCCCCATCTCTCTTCAAAAATCTGCAACAGCTGCTCAGCCATAATGTGTACGTCGTGCCCCTTTGGATTATAAGTCATGGCATTACTGAAAACAAGCCGTACATCCTCTGCAAACTCCCATGGAGACTTGTACAAGTTCTGCGACAGCCTTGTCTTAATTGTACCCAAATCCATAGGATGCTTGATTATATCATGGTAATCAACCAACCCCAGGGTCTTGACATTCACCGGCTCGTTAAACACCCAACCATGCTTGTGCTTCATCAACCGCTGAAGTAAGCTGCTACAGTTCTTGAAAACCTGATTTTTCCTCTTATCGAACGCAAAACCGAAGCCAAAGCCACGTTCTTGCCCTCTACTATGTTTCCTCCCACTATTTGTCTTCAACCTCTTATTACTTTCGGGAGGCAGCCGGTCCTTCCCCAAAAGGAACTCAGAATTTCTGTAATACTGATTCGCCTTTGGTGTCCGTTTCTCCTTCTCGACAAACTCGCCACCCTTGTGATTATTTTCCATCACTGCAACACTGAGCTGTCTACTGTACGTCCTCGGTTCAAGATTCCGTGGGACCCCCATATCAGAGTTCATTCTTGATAATATCATAGGCCTCGTTTCTTGGTGGCCCACCTCCGAGTTTACTCTTACCGACAATCTCCTGTCTACGACATTGATTCGAGGTTGCTGAGGCTGAGGTTGAGGATGAATGTAAGCACCAATATTGGCACCCCCATTGCTGATATGATTACTGTTATTACTAATAATACTGCTGCTAATCTGAGTACTGTACGAAGCAAGCTGAAGCTCCTTGGCCTCAAACTGTTTAACTAACCTACTAACGTGATCGAGCTCACATTCTAGCTTCTTCCTAAGCTCTTTAATCTCGATCAACGGGGTTTCTTTATATAATTTAAACCTAATCCTATCGTCAATACTAGTTATCACGAGCGGCTTCACAACCCCATTGGCATTTCCATCATTTTGTGCCCCGTTTTCAGCGGGCAGCGCCAGCACATCAACTTCTCTGCCGTTTGAAAGGCCGTTTTCATCGGAAAAAGGTGACGACTCTCTCGTGTTCTCTGTCCTGACCTCAACTGTCTGCAATGGCTCATCTGCCCTGCAAACAGAGGATAAGTTTTTCAAATTCTCTGCAGATGAAGGTATATCTTGTGGTTGTTCTTGCAGAGATTTGTTCGGCGACCCACGTGAGAGACTCTGTTCAGTTACTACATCTGCAGGATATTCCGTGACAAGACGGGCCCCGTCTGTCCTGTCGGGAGGGGTCGACAAGGTGGAAATATCGGGAGCAGCGGAATTGGTGGCAAGGGTGGTGCAGGAAACCTCAGGGGGTATGGGGGCGGGATTCCCGGAGGTGCTAGGGGCGGCAGAGCGGTGGCTCTCCGCACCGGAGGCTGTGGTGGCGAGGGTATCTTTATCATTGCAGGTTTTCGAGGCTTTCAATCGATGCCGCCGCGTATAGACTTTCCTATTTTCCGGCCAACGAGACCCTCCTCTCGAATTCAAATCATCATGTGAATCCCCTATTGTCGCCGAAGCCATACATGTAAATCACCACCAATTAGTGCGTGTGTGTGTGTGTATATAAACCCTAATTTTTCCCCCAAAATCAGCCCTAAAAATCCCGAGATAAGCCGAGTTAAAAAATTCTAGGGTTTCGAAAATTATAAAATTAGTCAAACAAACATCGAAACCAGGGGGGAATCAAGGAAAAAGGAAAGAGAAAAACCCTAGCTCATCCGAATCAAAAAGACTGTGTATATATATATACAGGTATATATATATATATAATATATACGCAGATCTGGTTTTTACAACCACCAGAAAGTATTCAAAAAGAAGAAAAGGAAAATCAATAGATCTGAAATCGGATATGGATAAAAAGATATAATCAAGAAGGAAACAAAAGGAATTAAAAAAAAAAAAAAGCAGAAAATTAATTTTAGGGTTTGAGGGTACGAGAGAAGAAGAAGAAGAAGAAGAGGCGTGCGCTCTCTGTTCTTCGATCCGAATTCCGCACACGCTTTCTCTCTCTAGAATTTTTTTTTTTTTTGGGTTTCTCTCTCTAAACGGATCTGTGGATCGCTACTGTCGGGCGGCGCAGTGGCTTTAATCGCACGCGCTTGATCCAAAGGCGGTGGGAGACTGCCACGTCATTGACGCGTGAAGGAGCGTGGACGGAATACGAAGGGATCTCTTTGATTCGCTCGTGTGCGTCACACGTCACGCCGTTCCTTATTTAGTGTTTGTTCTTTCTTTAGGGACCTATTTGCAATACAACTTTGATTTTGGCAGTACAAACTACAAAGTCTAATAATATATTTTAGGCTAAATTACACTCACACACTTGACGTATGCTTAAATAACTTTAAGGTTCCTATGGTATCGATAATTACACTCACTCCCCTGAAACATAGTTAGAAACACTACTGGGATAATACATTGGATACTGATGATACTAAAATATAGCTCACCTAGGGTGGTGTAGAAAATGAACTGGGAGAGCAAAGCAGATCAGTAGCTTGACAACTTGATGATCCTGAGGTACCTGCTATCATAGAACACATGAACTAAGCCGGGGGTTGATCCGGCGGAAACCCCTCCGACGCTCAAGTCAGACGTGCTGATAGTGGAAATAGTCCAGAGAATACAGTTAATAGTATCGCTCAGTTAATAGGACGTACCTTAAGAAATGAGTTCAAACCTTTATTTATAGCTTAGTCGAGATTGTCGGACCCAAACCTTGCTTGAAGGTGATTGGGCCTCGGTGATAGTGGTCTTCGATATTGGGCTCGTGGCCCAGTAGGTAAATAATTTGTAGGCCCATTGGGTTGGGCCAATTAGGCATATCAGATACGTTATTCCGATAGTGTTCTAACGGGCTATTACTTTTAGCTAGTGGTAGAGACAACATAGAGTTAGGGGGTGACATGGCTCCCCCAACATTTCTTTAATCGTCCATAGCTCTTTGTTGTCTCCACCACTTCCTGAAACTAATAGTCCATTAGAATTCTACCGGAATAACATATCCAATGCATTATCCTAGTAGAGCTTCTAACTATGTTTTAGGGGGGTGAGTGTAATTATCGATACCACAGGGGCCTTAAAGTTATTTACGCATACCTCAGGGGTGTGGACGTAATTTACCCTATATTTTATGCATATTATATTTCAATTTTTTTTAGGGTTAATATGCTGGAGGTCCCTCAAACGAAACGTTATTAGATGTGGGATACGAGCCCAATATTTTTTTGGTAACTAAATCCCTTAGTACAAAAAATATATGATATAAGGGTTTATTTTTTTAAATATCCCAATATTACCCTTAATATTAACAGAACGTTTGTGTGGCGTTTTAAAAAGTTGCATCTTTTTAATGAATCACGTCCCTTATAATTAGGGATCACGTATCAATCACGCTCTATCGTGATAGTAACTGTATCTTAATATAATCACATTAATATATATCGCACGTAAGTGAAGAAGATCCCATAAATAACAATATACAGTGCTAATCTGCAAAATATTGAGCGTAGTATTTTCAATTTCATCTTCAAGAACGTATTGCTTTTCATCATCGTATAACAGTGGTTCTTCGTGCGTTGTTGGTTCGATGCCTTTCAGATTTTCTTTTTTTGTTGTGAAAAGGTGTTTAAGCTATTACACGTGCTGAGTTTGATAATAGCATGGAGAATTTTCGAAAAAATGGTGGCCCGAGAGTGAATAATTGCTTGCTAGATCCGTCATACGAAAATTGGGCTTGTTTCCGTTTTGCTGGCCAGGGATTTGGTGAGATGACTTCCAATTTAACAAAGTCTTGGTATTCGCAGATTAGCAAATATCGTGGACTACCTATTACGGAGATGATAAATGCCATTAGGAGTCTACTGATGTTGCAGATGTGCTTGAGGTACGACACTACTGTGCCTTGACACACTGAACTTTGTCTTTTGGATGAAGAACGATTTAGTGTATTGGTACATGAAAGTAGGACATGGTTGCGAAGGAAAGCATCTGACTCGGGGTATGAGGTGTTGAGTAAACCTGTTGCTGAGATTGACTTATGGAACATATCATGCTCATGACGAATGTGGAAAATTTCGGGCTTCCCGTGGCTCGGTGTATAGTCGTTGCAACCAGATTGGAACTCACAACAAGAAGACATGCACAAGGGCTATTTAGTAGTTTTGATTTGGAGTTTTCTTAGTCTTTTGAATTTGAGTTTAAGTTAAACAGTAGTGTTCTTTGGTTTTTTTTTTCCTGCATTTATGTTTGGGTAGTACTATTTTGTTTCCGCATCGTGGTTTATTTTGCGATGTATGTTTTGTTTTGTTTAAGTTTCCCGTATTCACTTGTTTTACATAAGTTTGGTTTTGTTTTTCTTTTTAGGATTTACATATGAGTAAATACATAATTGCAAATTTTCAATAAACTTGCTAGTTGCTTCTCTATTTTTATATGAGTTTGTGTGTATTTCATATATTTTTATGTTTTTTAAATAGAAAATTACTGGATTGTTTAATCATTATAGAGTCATATTCTATTAAGTATTTTGAAATCAATGTCCAGTATTGTATTACTATAGGGATGGTGCACTGTAAATTGTGTAAATACAAAGTATCTATAGTCATCTATAGGATACTGTTGATGAATACAGTATATCATAATATATTTGTAGATCAACACGGAGATATTGAACACCAGGCTTGTTTAAGTACTTTGACATGATCTTCCACCACTGTATTATCCCATGGTTGGTGCACTTTTATCACTGACTGCATAAATACAAAGTATATATAGTAATTTGTAGGATACCGTAGATGAATTCATTATGTCATAGTAAAATTATGGTTCAAAATTTGCGATATAAAATACCTGTTTGTGTACAATATTCCTTAGTTGGTACATTTATTTCCTATAAAGCGGTGAATGAAACCAAATGTTGGACAATAGCTATGTTGAACTATGACCAAAGGTCATAATCCAAAATAAAATCAATAATATATAGATAAGACATAGTGTCAACAACGACCAACGTTTGTTTCGAATATTCTACCCAACAAACTAGAGTCAATAACCATAATTATGTTTACATGCTAACAATTTAAATTCCATTTGCGCAAACGAAGTCGCGTACACGAGACAAAACAAAATAAGACAACTACATTGCTCAATTGATCTTGTAATTCAAAAGATGCTATACAATTTTCTTTTTCATGTCTATAGGTAAAAAAAAAAAAACTCTACACACGCATTTTGCGTCCCAGTAACGGAGGCATTCGTGATTTTGTGCTTTGCGAATCGTAATACGAGGCTGAAAAATGGGGTTCTCTTCAGGCACTCTAGGTGAGCATTATTCAGTTGCACTTCTTCGAAGAAAGTCACAGTAGGCGTCAAGTTAGACCTGAATTAAGATATGTAACCACCTTTATTTCTCGTTCTTTGCGCAACATTCATGGCCTCTCTGCAAATATAAAAAACCATATTTATTTGTCAATAAAGATAAATGTTTGGAGGAAGATAAAAAATTACAGATACCATGTAAATGTAGAATCAATAGTTTTTTATTAAGAAATTTGAATATTTGTAATTGATAGAAACCCATAGAATATTATCACGTTACCCATAGTATACCACAGTACTACATAAATTATACATACAGTTAGACATACAAAACTCATTAGCAATAAACTAACAAATAAGCAACATAGGTCAGCCTCTCAATTATATAGAGAATCATATAATAGCAGCTGTTTCGTAGGTCAGTAACATAGGTCAGCAAAAAAGAACGAATCGCACAACAACATAACTATAAGTAAATTTATACAATTGTCATTTCATAGACTGCTATAGAAATACAATATCAATTCATAGACTACCATAGGAACTAGGGTTGACAACAAAGTATCCAATCATAGACTCCCATAAAAATACAACATCAATTCATAGTTACGAATGCATATAGAGCTCACATACACAATTCATTGACAATAAACTTACGAATAAACAAGATAAGCCGGTCTATCAATAACATAGACAATCATATAATAGCAAATGTTTAATAAGTCATCAACATAACTAACATAAAATTTCTACAATTGTCATTTTGTAATCTACTGTAGAAATACATTATCAGTCCATGGACTACCATAGAGATATAATTGTGTTTTTACAGACTATCATAGAAATATACAGTCTGTGTACACCAACTATCAATAATCACACAAATCTAAACATTAACATGATATACAACAGCACTTACACGTCATGAAACATTGCAGAATCCAGACTTCGATTGCCAAATAACGAATTACAAATTCAAAGCACAAAAATATTTACACGCCTAAACAATTTTTTCGTGTGTGGAATTCATAGTTACCCAAAGATTTAGACAACAACAAACAACAAAATATACATGTTTTGAATCGTACCTGCGTCTAGTGCATATATGTCCGGCTGCCTCTTCATCTGCATCTCCCCTGCGTATTCAATTTTGTAAAAACCCTAATTTAAAAAAAAAAAACTAAAATCAAACAAAATTA